CAGCCCCACCGCCCCGAGTCCTGCCCCCCGCCCCTGCCCCCTCGGCTGGGACTCAGCCAGAGCCAGCGGTGCCTGGGGACGCGTCCCTGCAGCTGGCAGGGGGGGTCTGGCTGGGGGGGCTGCCAGCCCCTGTGCCCGTAAGGTATCGCACGGACGGAGATGGGAGAGGCAGGGAGCGGCAGCGCCGGTGGGCAAGGGATGGAAGGGCCGAGCAGGACGAGGATCAATAGCGCTCATTAGTCAACGACCCAGGAACGAGAATTAATGGACTCCAGTTGTAGCCAGGTGAACATCGGCTGGACATCAGGGGAAATTCAGGGCTGGAGTTCAAGCCCATAAATCCATCCCGGAGGGGTAAGCCCAGCCCAGGCGGGGCGTGGGGGATTGGCACGCGGGGACCCAGCTCACAGGCCCCTGGGACCCACAGGCCAAACCCTCCGGTTCTATTAATTAATTGCTGATGGCACTTCCCAGAGCCTGGGGCGGCGCAGGCATGCGGGCAGCGGGGCCGGCCACCGGGATTTATTTCTCCTGGCCTTGGAGGTGCTGCCGGGCTCCTCCCGAGGCGCAGGCAGCTGCAGGCAGGGCGACGGGGGATTCCGGGGCCTCCAGGCTCGATGCAACGGAGGGAAAATCTGCCCCGTGGCTGCGAGGGGCGAAGGCGAAGCATCGCCCGTCCCTGCGCCCCCCGCAGCTGGAGTCACTGGGGGAAACTCCCAGAGGTTTGTGTCCAAACGTCAACCCTGACAAGGACTGACATTTTACATTACGTTAAACAAACATACATCTTTTTTTCTTTCTTTTAAATCAGAGCAGGTCAAATTGGCCTTCCACCGTTACACCTCATTTAAGCTCTTCAGCATCTTCCAGTTTTCCAGTGCAAGATCTGAATTAAAACCCACATGGGACAGCGTACGGGCAATAGCAGAATTCACGTCCTGCCCATCCGCATTGTTTATCAGGCTCCTTCCCCTTCTCCTCTCCACAAACCCACCATGACTCCGCTGCTGAAAAAATGCCGAAGATGACAGATTTTTCCTGTTTGCTCTTTGACTTTCTAGGACACTAAAGCACAGCCTGATCTGGAGAAAACCACTCATCCTTTGCTCTCCTTGCTTTGAACCCTGAGCTCTGCCTGATTGCACTAATCTGCGCCATGGCCTCAAAGGCATAAAATGTATCAGACCTTGCAAAGATTAAAGTTACAGGGATGCACACAAATAATTTTATTTGATCTGGGATTTGTAGCAGGTTGCCATAGCATCATATTCTAAGTATTATAAAATCACTCAGACAACTTAACAACGTGTTCCTCTGTCACATGCTGATTGCTTCTTTGGGGCCAAACTGCTGGAACTGCTCCTGAAATGCCGGGGAGAGCAAAACAAACCCATTCACCAGCCACCGCTTGTAATTACCCTCCGTGCACTGGAAATACGTTACGTTAAACGGCAGCCGCGGGCTCCGATGATTCAGCCTGCCGTCAGCTCTGGGGTCAAGGGCCGGCAGCCCCGTTCCCAAACAGATGACCCTCATGGGATGACAAATGAATCATGAGGAAGATGAGCACATCTCGGCCCGTGCGCCGGCGCGCTCGCAGGGAGAAGCAGCCCCCGGGATCTCCCCTGGGGACAGACCCAGTGCCAGCGGGTGCTCCCGGCCGTGACCCCGTCCCTGCCCGGCGCCAGGGCTACGAGAGGAGTCCGAACTGCAGCAAAGGTCCAGGCGCTGACGCCAGGGCCGGGGGACGCTGAGCTGCTCCCCGTGACACCAGCACGCGGCTCCCACCCACAGCAGGGCCCTGGGAACCGGCCCCAGGGACGTTCAGCCCCCGCCGGGGTTTCAGCTGGCCGGGGGATGCCGGTGGCCGCAGCTGTGAGCATCGCTGCCTCCGCTGCACCGCAGGACGGCCGCCCTCACCCCGCGGGGACCGGGACCCCCGTGGCACCTCCCCAAACGCTTGCAGCTCTTCCACCGAGTCTGGCACCAGGACAGCGCAGTGCAAGAAGAAAACGCAGCTCCTGCCTGAGCAGCCCGACCGCAGACACTGCACGGGGACAATGAGGGAGAGGGGACGGGGTGGGGGAGGACAGCAGAAAGGGTGTGATGAGCTGAAGCCTGGGCTTGGCGCAGCACAGCTCCAATGAACAGCCTCTGCGCTCACTCCCCACGTGCCTCTCCCCGGCACCACGGCAGGCGCGCGGCTCCAGTGCCGGTAACGGAACGAAAGGTTACGGCTGCGCTCGCTCCCCGGGGGCAGCACCCCGTGTCCGGGGGCTTCACCCGGCCCC